AGATGAGTGAGTAGTAGGAAAATTAAGAAATGGAAAAGGAATATCCTCCTTCAAAAAGATGCTGGGACGCCCTCAGCCTATGGTCTCGCAAAGGTGCAGAAAGATGGGTTGTCATTTAAGGTGATCGTAAGCAATAAGAGTAGTAGTTGTTTGACCTAATTTTCGCAACTTGGTCATATTGGCAGGAAGACCTGGAGGATCGCCCCTTGTCTGGAGAGTATAGTATGCGTGATTATTTCCAGAGTCGGAACGTGGACTTGCTACATTTCCAGACGTTTCGACGGCATCGTAGTCGGTATCATCAGTGAGCCTTGTCAGTCTTAGCATCGCACTACAACTCGTCAAACAGACAATTGAAGTCGATTCTTTGACCAATTGTCTGCTAAACAGTTGTGGTATCTCTCCTTCTGTCCTGGGCTATTCACCTCTCCTATATCCTCGTATTAGCACTTCACTATCACAATTTCCTATTTGGTTATTTAAATGTGGTATGTTGTGTCCTTTTGAGTGGATTTCACGAGAATTCTGTCTACCCCACTTTGGCTTTCTAACCTCGCCCCCTTCCATTGAGCTGGGAATCTTGAGCTGAGTCTACCATGCTGTTCCGCAATCCTCTTCCCATAGGTCTTATCAGAGTCTCCCCCTTGCCACGTAGGATCCGTCTGCAATCTTCCTGGTTCAGGTATTCCACTTGATACCAGCCACCCCATCTGTTCTACTCGAGGCATTATTTCCCAAATTTTACCTCAAGCCTTTTTTAGCACGTATACTGAGTAGGCCCACGGAATCTGGATTCTCAAGCTGTATGAAAGACTAACATGAGGCTATAGATCCTCTTATCACCGTTCGACATGTGCACCGGGTAATTCTGATGATCAAGCCTTTGTTTTGACATTGTTCCGCAATTTGTTCATATTGGTAGGAAGAACCAGAGGAACACACATGGAAAGTGTGAAATGACCAAATATGATGTGCAATCAACTAATATAAAACGAAAGGAGATCGCGACCATACAAAAGGTCACATCATCTCGCTCTTCATACCTTCGGTTATACTATGGAAGTAAGATTGCCAAACAATGCACCGATTACAGCTGGATAAAGCAGAAAATTGTAAGTCAATCATGCCACTTGACCTTTCTGACTTGTTACAAACATTGTGGTATCACTCCCGTATTCTGCAACCTAATGAGGAAATCTCATTTGGACATTGTGTGTGAAATACTTTATCACGCCTCCATACAGAAATTAGAGGAAGTTTACAAAATTGAGAGGCGTAAGCTATTTAAGCTCATAGATTATAAGTCTAGATTAAGGAAGGACCTAGGCAGGGTCCTAGGACTTTTAAATCTCAAGGATGACTGATCAGAAGTCGCAAAGGGTCCGGGATTTGATAAATAGACGGCATGACAAGAAATTGTTTAGATATTGGATAATAAAACAACGTATGATCTAGCCAACCCTGGCAAACTTTGATGGTTCTGTATCGAAGGCATCAACTGCTATAAACGACGATAGGGATACGGTATTAAACCTGTCCATAGTCCTTCTTGATTTTTAAGCGATGAATCTCCTAAGAAAAGGGTTATATTTCTCCCTAGGTAACAAAGAAAAATTTCTGATGATATTTTTGTGGAAATTGTCAAAATATCGGATAAATATACTGGAAAGACAAATTGGAAGATGGAAGTGGAAAAATCCCAAAGATTTGACGCATCAGGAGCCAAAACGCCAGAGCAGATTAATTGGTATACGCAAGAAGCTACAAAAGAATGATCAAATTAGTCTTCAGGTGGATAATGGAGGAGCTGCGGTGGTAATGGACAGGAAATAGGACACGAAGAAAGTGGAAAGTATCCTAGGCGACCTGAACACTTATTAAATACTAAGGAAGGATCCAACCATAAAAATCAACGGGACACTCAAGGATATGCTAAAGGAAATGCACAAGTACAGAGAAATTTACACATGGATGATGAACTCTTTATGTAAAAATAACGCAAAACCGCCGACAGCCAATATACTACCGAAGATACACAAGGAAGGAAAACCGCTAACATTAAGAGTGAACAACAAGCTAGAAAAATTAATTTGCTTGAAACTCAAGAAAGTAAACGACAAACTCTTCAATACCATGAAGAAGTAATATTGATTTTCTCAAAGGATCCATAACCTTGGCCTGGTGGGGACGAAACTGTTGGCAAGTTACGACGTACAATCCATGTACAAAAACATCTCAGGCGAGAAGGAGGTAAGCGAGCGCCCTTCTGAAGATATTGGAGCGAGGAAGGATAGCCTGGAGGCAGAACAGATATGAAAGGAATCTTTAACACGACTAATCAACCTGACAGTTAGGACCACCTGTTTTAAATTTTACGGCAGTTTCTATGAGCAAATATTTGGAATACCAATGGGTTCTCCATTCTCACCTTTGGCAAATGTATAAATGTACAAAATGGAAAGGAAATTCGAGAAGTCACCACTGCAACCAAGAGTACTTATGTGTTACGTGGATGACTAATTTACACTTTGGTCACATGGTAAGGAAAATTTGAATGAATTCCTCAATTTTATTAACCAACTTGATAAAAGAGTTATATTCACAATGGAGGTGGTTAAGGATGAACGACTACACTTTATAGATATTTAAGTCATGCGCTCCAACGGAATACTTATAAGGAAACTATTAAGAAATAACTAGTCTGAAGATAAAAATATTGAAGAGTTTGATCATCAGAAGCATAAGACTAACAGACACATAGTTCTGGGACAAGGAGTTGGACGAGCAGAAGTATATCGGTGAGACAGGAAGAAAAATTGGCCTACAAATCAAGTAGCATCAAAGATTCTGCAAGAATATGAATACGGAAAGAGATGAAATAGCGGAACTCATCGCACGAATGGGACACGAAATCGACCGAAAGACTGGTTGCATATGGTGAAAATACGAGAATGCGCAAGATCCTAGATGCCATCGATATACTGACCGAGAGAAATCTAATGAACCGGAAATTTGAAGAAGGCAGGATCAGCAAAAACTTTGCATATTGCCTAAACAAACTCGGAGAAGACCAGGTAACAGTAAGATCAACAAAAAGAAGACGAATGGATCAAGGTAACCTT